CGATCAGGTAACTCTCCCTTGCCATCCGCCCTCCCGCCCGATCCGATCCAGCGATTCGAGGCCTAGCATCTCCGTCGATGAATTTCCCCCCATTTTTTGCGCGCCAAGTTTCGGCTGAATCGGCCGGTCGTTGCTCGTAGATTTATAAATTTGTTGGAATTTTTCTGAGGGGGAGGCTAGATTCCCCTCCTTCCGGAAGTAAATAAATAAGGATGATCGTCTAGGGTTTATTTCGGTGGATTATATGTTCCGTAGACCTGTTAGCTTTTGTGTGACCACCATGGTGGTGTCTTGATTGGAGCTTAAAGGATTGTGTAGCCATGGATAAGGGCCTCTTCGCCAACGACGGCTCCTTCATGGAGAGATTCAAGCAGATGCAGCAGGAGATGCAGGACAAGGAGAAGCCCGCAGCCCCCGCCACCACCGCTGGTGCTGTCTCCTCTGCGCCGGCCAAGCCTGTCAACCCTAAGACGCCCCTTGTCATTGCGGCAAACAAGAGGCCGCTCGAGGTGAAGAAGGCTGGCTCGGTTTTGTCGGGCGGGAAGCTGGCCTTTAGCCTCAAGAAGAACAAGATCCCCATTGTGCCTGTCAAGTTTGGAGCCGAGGAGGACGACGACGATGACGTTGCCGGTGTGGAGAGGGGGGATCATGCGAAGCGGCACAAATCCATTGATGCTCACTCAGCTGCTGCCCCAGCTAGGGTTGTTGGTAATCATTTTGTTTCATTTGCTGCTATTACTGTATTTCTTTCTTATGAATACTCTCTGAGATCATATGCCCTTACCATGGGTAGTAGCTATAAGGGCTTCGAATTTTGACAAATATTTTTGAACATTAGAGATGTTGTATCTTCTATGCACATGTGCACAATTGTGATCAAGATTGTCTCAAATGTGATGAACTTATTCTGAGCTAAACATGTTGGTGCAAAAAACAGTTGTTTCTTGGCTCTTGACCTGAGAATTGCAATACTTACAAAGATACACTGCTTATCTGATATTTTAATCAGCATAGTATTTAAAGCTTACCTGTCAACTTAACTAATAAAATCAATTGACATTGCACAACACCAGTGAAACTCTGCTTTTGCCTAGCCATGCATAAATTAGTAGCTTGTCAAATATGAACTTCAGTCCTCAGCATCTAATATGCTCCAACTGATATTATTTAACTGATAAAATCAATTTACATTGCACACCACCAGTGAAACTCTGCTTTTGCCTAGCTATGCATAAATTAGTAGCTTGTCAAATATGGACATCAGTCCTCGGCATCTGTAATATGCTCCAACTCCTATTATTTAACTAATAAAATCAATTTACATTGCACACTACCAGTGAAACTCTGCTTTTGCCTAGCCATCCTTACATTAGTAGCTTGTCTAATATGGACATCAGTTCTCAGCACCTGTAATATGTTCCAAATGCTATTAGCAGCAGAAAGTTGTGAAGGTTTTGGTTTTTCTTATGGCTGCAGCTTATAGATTAACTGTATCGACATGGCTGGGAAGGATGTTGATTGAAAGGGTTGGAAATATGGCGCTACTGCTACTGCAGTAATTTGCATTCCCTTGTTCACGTGCTTGATATTAATGAGTTCTTAAGTGACATGCAGCCTCAGCACCACCAAATGATATGACAGTGAGGCAGGTTGCTGACAAATTAGCAAGCTTTGTTGCCAAAAATGGGAGACAGTTTGAGGATATTACACGCCAGAAGAATCCTGGAGATTCACCATTCAAGTATGACGGCCATAGCTTTGCTTATCAACGCAAAAAAAATGCTTACATTAAATTTGGAGATCAAAATTGCATCATTAACTATTGCAATAATAAATTCTTAACCTTGGTTATTTGCAGGTTTCTGTTTGATAAAAACTGTTCAGACTACAAATATTATGAGACTCGGCTTGCTGAAGAGGAAAAGGTGCATGCTCAGACAAAGGATGCTCAGGCTTCAAAAATTGGTTCGTGTCAGACAATATCATTACTTTTGGTATCACTTATCATCTATGCAAGTTCTGATGGCATATGCTCTTGGTAAAATGCAGTTAATTCAAGCACTGCAAGCTCCATAGCACATACTGGTGCACACAGAAGCTCATTTGAACAAAGATCTAACTATCAAACGCCTGCTTCCGCTTTATATGGTGCATATGAAGGTAGTTCTTCCCAGGGAAGCTCATCTGGTCATGGTAAGTTACTTGAGGTGTCTTTGTGGATCACTTTCCTTTTCTTAAGCTTGCGTGCTACTCTGGTTTGATTGCTTCCACACTATTCCAAGGTTGGGTACGCATGTTACGTAATGTTCTCTTGAGTTCGCAGTTCTGCTCCGCCAGTTAATTGTCATCTGATTTTCTTCCCTGAGTTTTTTGACATGCTCTGTACTGTAGTATTCATGTGGCCTAATGCATAGAATGGACATATTATGATGTGCCTTTATGTGAACAACTGAACTCTATATCCTGTTATCATCCTACATTATAGTTTTCTTCAGAAGATGATATGTCTTTTATCTAGCAGTTCGATCCTTTTTTCTGTTTCGTAAATTTTAGTTGGTTGATGCTGTCTCATGTTATTACAGGTGGTCAAAGTATGTCTGCACCCTCAGATCCAGTAGCATTGATGGAATTCTACATGAAGAAAGCTGCACAGGAAGAACGGAAGAGACCACCAAGGCAGTCAAAAGACGAAATGCCACCACCTCCATGCCTTATTCAGGGTACATTTTTCACATTTATTGTTCGTCGCTCTGATGCAAGGTTGTAGAGACTTGATATTTACTATTCATCTTTTCTTTCTTTCCAGGTCCTCCTAAGAAGGGACACCACATGGGGGACTTCATTCCTCAAGAAGAACTCGAGAAGTTCATGGCACGCTGTAATGATGCTGCAGCACAAAAGGCTACCAAAGAAGCTGCAGAGAAGGCTAAGATTCAGGCCGATAATATTGGGCACAAGCTTCTCTCTAAGATGGGCTGGAGGGAAGGTTAGTCCTCAAATTGAAAACTAAACACCAAAGTTCCAGTTCTAGTAAATGCCTGTTTGGCATTAGGGTCTTACTTGGCCTGTTGGATTCTCTTTTATAACAAGAAATCCAAATGAAACAATGAATCCCGTATTTCCTAATAATCCATTTGGGTGGCTGGTGAATTGTTAAGTTTATGTCTGCATGCATTCCCGCTAGCCTCCGCCCTGTTGAACACTTCCGCTCAGTGACCTTATTAGTATGATATTGTACTCAATTCAGTTGTAGGTGCTAAATGTAGTTTACTGTGCAGGTGAGGGTCTTGGCAGCGAGAGAAGTGGCCGTGCAGATCCCATTATGGCTGGAGATGTGAAGCAGGACCACCTTGGTGTTGGTGCTATCCAACCTGGTGAGGTGTCATCTGAAGATGACATCTACGAGCAATACAAGAAGCGAATGATGCTAGGCTACCGCCATAGGCCAAACCCACTGGTATACTGCCCAGCCAAGCCATGACCTTCTTCTTTAATGAATGATCTGTTATATACTTTTGTCTCATATATGTTGTGATATTTCCTGCAGAACAACCCAAGGAAACAATACTACTGATACAAGGGGAGGTCAGCTGGGGGGAGACGTAAGAAACCAATTTTGCTGCACTGTTTTGCTCACAGAACTAACTGCTGCTTTGGGAAATGACTAACAGTATTGAAAGCTTTGTTCATCAGCAAGAAGCCCAGAGGTTGATTTATTCAGCAAGTAACTTGGAATGCCACAGCTTTGGGGCTTCCTGGGGTTCTGCAGTAGCTTTGCTGTTTTAGTGTTTGTTTAAGTACTACTACGAATGTGTCCTACGGTGGTGTTTTATGCCAAAGTTGATGTTTCAAATGGTGATGTATTTCTACCTCTGTTGGTGGACAATGTAACTTTGTGATTATGGATTTTCTGCTGGGACTTCCTTCAGTTGATTATACTGCTTCTTATTTTGGCCAGTGCAAAGCGTGTGTGTGGTTGTAGTTGCTGTTGGTTGCTTTTTTTAGCTACTCTGTCAGGGTTTATTAGGCAGCCTCATATTTTGGGTTAAAGTTTGACCATAGATTTATTAACTAATAAAATATAAAGTGTGCCACAGACATTACACTGTGATAACCTCTATCACAGTGTAATGTCTGTGACACACTTTATATTTTATTAGTTAATGTACCATATATATTATATTTTATTAGTCATATAGATGGTCAAAATTTGACCCAAAGTACAGAAGACACAATACACTTAGGCGAATGGAGTAACTTACATATGCAATGCTAAAGGAACTGAAATCTGGGCCCTGAATTTGCGAGTTCTTGGGCACTACGATGAATTGTATTGATAGACGTCATCTGCGGGGAGTGATGTCGAGGTTTTTTTTTAATGAAACTAGCAAACATGTCCGTGCGTTGTCATGGAAGAAAAAATATATCTTCAACACGGGTATCCAACCATCATTGTGGCTATCCTTTATCCCGGACAAACTTGCTGGTTGGTACTTTTGGCCACAACAATGTACATACGTGCAAATGGATGGATTTTCTGAGAGGCTTTATCCTTTTTTGGTGAGTAGAAGCGCACATACACAATGCACCAAGTCACGATGGACTTCATGCGACATCGCCGCTCCATGGCGGTGTCTGCTTGATTTCACCGGGTCCTCAAATCTTACAAGGTGGTGTCGGTGTTGTAGTATATGTTTGACGAGCATGATGTGTGACCCAGCAGTCGGTATTTTTGGACGAAGAAACACATCAACAGAATTACTTTGCGGTACATGCAAAGCCAATTTAGAGAAATGTCTTAATTGATCTGTACACTGGATCAAGTACGTAGCAAGAGCTAGCTGGACTGATTAAAATTTCAGCCCAAGCTGGACAAACACTAATAAGTTTAACCCAAGCTGGAAAAACACTGATTATGACTTTTTAGAAAACTCGCATGACAAATAGGTGTCTTCCTTTCTTTGCCGGGTTAGTTAGTTGCCGCGGGTCGATCTATTCCGATGGTCCATGCATATTGTGGCATTTTGGACTTTTTTATCATCGAATCACTCTCTTTC